GTTATTTGTCGACCGTCGTCACTTTCTCTTTTATGTATTATTATGGTTGTTTGAAAAGGTTTCCAATTCGTATCTAGCTGTTCTCTCTTTTGGTACTATCTTTGAAAAAAATATGGGTAAATTACAATATATTAGCAACAACTATTATGAAGCGGGAAATTATAGTCACAACTATGGAAATTCAAATTATTAGCCAAACGTTAACTACTGTTAACAATTTCGTTAGTAATACTGACTAAATTTTTATGTTTCAAAGTTATAAATTAAAAGCATTCCGACGTGACCGATGTCTTGGTCGATGACGTGACCTCTCTGTCAAAAATTCAATAACAGTAACGGACAGTTTCCGGTTTCAACCAAAAACTGGATGCAGACTGTTTCCTTTCAACCTCACTTTCCTTTCTCTTTCTTTCTTATCTGCTTCAATTCCATTCTCTCTCCGTCCTCACCTCACAGTCGATTCTCTACCTACCTCACATCCATCTCGACCTCCCTCAGACCTCATCGGCCGCTGCCTCCATCTCTTCTATTTCCGATTCCTCCAATCAACCGGGCTAAGAGACGAACAGACGAGAGTCCTTGTCGCCATCGCCACTGCCGTAAGTGATGGATCTAGAGCTGATGATGGCGGAACGAGAGGGATAAGCGTGGATGTCGTTGTGGCTGGTCGCTAACAACTGGGAGAAGTCAGATCGAAAGGGATGGATGATGGAGCGAGGCGATTGGCGACGGCAAGTTCTGGTGGCGGAGTGACGATGGTCGGCTCTCCGCTGTTTGCCCGGTTTTAACCGGATTGGACCGGGCCAGTTTTTTATATGAATACTACAACCGCAAACTGGATTGGATTAATTAAAATTCGGTTTGCGGTTACAACCGGGACGATTTAAACTACACGGTTTCCGATTTGACCGAAAAATTGGGACCGGATTCCAAGCCCTAATCAAAACTCAAAAGAAACACAAAAGAAACATTTCCTCCCTCTCTCTTTTTCACCTCCCACCATGGAACTTTCCCATACCTTCTTCACAATCGTCACAGCCAGCATCTCCAAAACCCAAATCTGATTTCATTCTGAACCCCTACCTTTTTGCACATCAATTGTTGTGAGCTCTGTTTCACTTTTTGAAATCAAGCTCGGAATCAATTTTTTCTAAGACTCAAGATCTGGCCAGGGAGATTTGAAGAAAATTGGAGAGGCGTAGACCGGGAATTGAAATGGAGCTGTAGCCGGACGATGAGATGCATGCAGCGGTAGAAAAACATAGATGGATGTAGCCAAATTATTTGTTTCTGGAAACAAAGCTGTTGCTGACCCAAACCCTAGCCAGAGAAAATTGAAATGGGCAACGATGAACTCTCATTGTTTAAACCTCCAGGCTCCAACGCCAGCGCCACACTGCAAATCAATCCTAATTTTATGTGGGAAGGGATCTTTGTTACAGCAGAAGGGAAGGGGATAAGGATTGAGGTGTTTGATCGGCGGTGAAGTAAAAAAGAAGAGAATTTGACAATTTTTTTTCTCTGGGCCTGTAGATTAATTATGTCAGCCTAGAGCCCGCGGCGAAGCGCGGCCCATTAGAGTCTAGTATATCTAAAAGCCAAGTTGAAAGCTGAGAAGAACCACAGTTTTGACTATAGGTGTCAATCGGGCAGGTTCGGGCTGGGTTCAATCGGGTTCGGGTTCAAATGGGTTGCGAGTAAGTCGAGTTGCGGGTTCATCGGATTCGGGTTCAAACGGGTTGCGGGTTAGTCGGGTTGCGAGTTCATCGGGTTCGGGTTCAATCGGGTTGCCGGCTCATCGGGTTTTGGATCGGGCGGGTTGCGGGTGGATCGGGTTTCGGGTTGTTCGGGCCAGTGCATCGAGTAACTTACTCATTACTCGTTACCAACTTACACATTTTATTACACTAATTTAAAATATTTTTCTCAACTTTTTAACCAATTTATTTCTACCTCCACTACAATAATACAGGCATTTAGTGTCGGTTATTTTCTAGGTTTAGTGTCGGTTATAGCCGACACTAAAATAATTTGTGTCGGTTCACTTAACCGTCATAAAAGCTGCCGACACTAAATAAATTTGTGTCGTTTTTGGCCAACCGCCGGAGTAACCGACACAAATTATTTGAGTCGGTTACTTTATGTCGGTTCTACCGACACTAATTGTTTTAAGGTTAATCGATTTTTGCCATTAATTATTTATCATAAAAAGTATTCCAAAATTAAATGTGATATTTGTGTCAGTTCACCCAAAAAAATAACCGACTCTAAAAAAAAAACTCAGATATGTGTTGCCACCGACGATTCGCCTGGTCTTCCCTCCGCTACACGGATCAATTAAATGCAAAATCATCCGAACAAGGTATTAACATCATCTAAACAGTAATCATTCCATTCCCATCTTCGTCTAAATAACTCGCGAATTGGAATCCCCAAACACATCAATCGAATCTGCCAAAACAAACAAAAATTGAAACCCAAAAAAATCCTTCCAAACCCAGCAATCAGTGTTGCTCGTTCTGCTCTCCAAACCCAGAATTGAAACCTTCAAACCCAGAAATTCAAAAATCGTCGAACTCAGTCGCCCCTTTCGCTTTTCACCAACACGTCGCCATCACCGCCGCTTCTCCAGTAGTCATCCCCGCTGCTGGAGTCACTTATCGAGTTGTCGAGTTGAAGGCTGAGTCAGGGCAAATCGACGTCGGTGTCCCGCTCCCCTGCTCCGTTCAAATTGAGACAGGGCACATCAAGTCTGGCCGGTCGTCGGTCTGGTTTGAGAAAGAAAAACAAAAAGAAGCCAGATTTGATTTTGGAGCGGCCACTTTGGGTCTCTGTTCCCTGGACTAAGAATATATTTGATTAAAAAGAAGGGTGAAGGATGAATTCAAATAATAAGGGAGAAGGAAGACCCAAAGAGGGGTTGTGAATTTTTTTCATTTGGGCGGGCAATTGAAAATGAAAATTGATGGTTGGGCGGGCTTTGAAATTTTTAAGGAGCCAAATAATTGAGGTAGAGGGCTGAGCGCCACAGATTTAAGGAGCCAAAAAATTTGTTAAATTAATTTTAACTTTGTGGCATTGGAAACCGAATCAAGTAATGAAATTTATGTCGATTCCAACGGACAAAAATCTAAACCGACGTAAATAGTTTGAGATTTGTGTCGGTCATAGGTTCAACCAACACAAAACTAAAAAACTTAGTGTCGTTTAATTAAACGATTCCAATCACCGACACGAATTCTTATATTTGTGTCGGTTAAATGAACTGACACAAAGCAACCGAAGCAAAACCATATTTTTCTTGTAGTGATCGGGTATATATATATATATATATATATACACTTAATTTTTTTGAAAAAAACTAGTCAAAATGTTAAATCAATTTGTATGACTTGCAAACTTGTTATGTAATTAATCATAATTGGTAAAGTACACTAGCTAATAGTAATGGTGATATCAATATTTGCAACCAAAAGACACCATTAATTGTTTATTTGATATTTTAGTATTAATTCAGTAGTAATTGGATTAAAGTATCTCGTTTAGTATAACCATGCAAATCTGGTATTTGGCGTGTGGTATTTGGCAAAAGCGAAGTGATAAAAGGAGTTATTTCGAAATAACTCATTGCCCAAATAACTTCAGTAAACTGTTGCCAAACGAGTTATTTGTAAAATTGTTCGAATTATCCTAAAAATTGAATCATTAAAGATTAACTATCAAATTTAGTAAAATTATTGTGACTTCAATCATAACTTACTCAATAACATATATCCTATACACTTAGCATTATCCTCAATCAATAATATTAAGTTAGTATATGTTGTTGATTGTATACCCTAAACCATCAATACATTATACACTAACCACATGCCATATACCTTATACCCTAACCATATGTCATTGAGTTGTGATTTTGCTAGTATAGTTAATTTAAAAATGAAATTCATACTTTGATTTTCAAAACATAGATAAAAAGTGATATTTGCTAATTGCTATACCCTAACCATATATCCTATACTCTACACCACATACATTGTACCCTAACCACGTACCATAAACATAAATTAAAAAGGGATCTCCTGCTGTTAAAGACTTCAAATGACTTAAAGTGAACATATGTTAATAAAAAACTTAGAACCGTCAAAACCATCAATATCTTATACCCTAACCATATACGCCCTAAACCATCTGTACCTTATACCCTATACTCTAACCATAAACTTTATACCCTAAACAACGAACCGTCAAAGATTACTTATCAAGTTTAGTATAATTGTTGTAACTAATGGTTAATTTATTTATTATCCATAAACAATTACATACATACATACATATATATATATATATTAGCCTTCAAAGCATATAAGAATAAATTTAACTAGTCATGCCCTCCATATAAAAGTTAAAGATTCATATTTCAAAGGCTAAAATTTTGAAAACACCAAAAAATTGAAAACACCAAATTTGTTTACTTCTTTCTTTAAAAAAAAAAAAAAATTTCCTCCTTCTTTCTCCTTCCATAAATTAGAAACACTCAATTTTCCCTCTTTTTTCTCTTCCATAAAATTGAAAGAACCAAATTTGCCTCTTTCTTCCTTCTACAAAATGTTGAAAACTCCAAATGTTCCTCTTATTTCTCTTTCAAAATCAAAAGAAGCAAACTTTCCCACTTCTTTCTCTTCTCACAAATCAAAACCACCAAAATTCCCACTTGTTTCTTTTCTAAAAAATTCAAAGTACCAAATTTCCCTTTTCTTTCTCTTCCCAAAAAGTTGAATACACCAAAATTTCCATTTTCTTTTAAAAACATCAAATACATTACATTACTATATTTATATTTAATTGATAATTTTATTGAATAGTTAAGTTAACCAAAATTTTAATTTATATATTATATTAATATTGTCCATGATCTCAATTATTAATTCTTCATTATTAATATTGACATTATGTTGATTTTAATTTATATATTATATTAATATTGTCCATGATCTCAATTATTTATTCTTCATTATTAACATTAACGTCAACCAATCATCCCAGAGCCTCTTCAGTTTAGCATAGAAGGTCGAAACAAACGTACGATCTTGACGTAGGGCTCTAAGCTGGCGGCGGATCTTGTAGCGGCGCGGGAGAGAACCAGTGCTGAAACGCTCTTGGAGCTCATCCCAAATCTGCTTGGCGGTGAATCCGGTGCTGAGACTGCTACGGATGTCGCGAGACATGGCTTGACGTAGCCATCCGACCACCATAGCGTTACACCGCGTCCAAGCGTTGAGATGTTCGCCTGAAGCCGGACGAGGAATCGTGCCTAGCACGAATCCTAGCTTGTTTTTGGCGAGCAAGGCGTTGGAAATCTCGACGGAGCATTTTCCGTAATTCATGTCGGTGAGGAGATCAGCGACAAAGACTTGACTTGGAGTGTCCGAAGGGTGAAGAAACAAGGGCGAAGTAGAACCAATAACATCACCATGACTCTCGACGACAGGCTTCTTCTCCCCGCTGTCTGAACCGGAGTCGTCGACCATGCTTGGCAATTATGATAGACGATCAGCCAAGTCGGAGAGATTGACACAAGCTGCTGGATGAAGAACCTAGACCTTGACGATCAGCTCTGATACCATGTAGAAATCGATATTGCGGAAATACGAAAGAAATACGATGAGAATTTTACGTGGTATCCTCGTTCTTGATTCGAACGAGACTAATCCACGGTGAGCTCGAAGGAGCTCACGACTATGACTTTATTGAGATAGACCAGACGACTGCTTGCTTCCACAATCCAGAAGCTAAGCTTAAATACACATGAGCTAGGTTGGGACTGGTTACGGTGCTAATTGTACAACAGTTAGCACCGTCCTAATCAAGGGTTAGTAGTGATTTAGCTTAGATGTTGTATTGATTTTATAATAATCCGTAGTGATTTCGTTGTTTTTAGTAGCGTTTTTTGCTAGTTATCACGGTGCTAACCCCTAAAAGAGTTAGCACCTAATCCCATCCCAGCTAGGTTTCTTACACGGCTGGACTTTGCTTGATAAGTAAGAAACCTAAAACTATGTAAACAAGGAAAGAGACTTGAACAAGGAAAGACCACCGAGTTTGGTGCAAGACTCCAACACGAACTCAGTCTCCCAATAACACTGCAAATCAATCCTAATTTTATGTGGGAAGGGATCTTTGTTACAGCAGAAGGGAAGGGGATAAGGATTGAGGTGTTTGATCGGCGGTGAAGTAAAAAAGAAGAGAATTTGACAAAAAAATTTCTCTGGGCCTGTAGATTAATTATGTCAGCCCAGAGCCCGCGGCGAAGCGCGGCCCATTAGAGTCTAGTATATCTAAAAGCCAAGTTGAAAGCCGAGAAGAACCACAGTTTTGACACATGTTCAAACTCTTAGAAACACCCCTACTATTTTTTGTTAACTACAACTTTGCCATCGTAAGTGCCACCATTGACTGCATGTCCGTCTATCCTTGGAGACTGCCACCGGCCAGTATCTATTTTGTCAATTTCCATGGCTAAATCTCACTCTTTCACTTTATCTCTTGATTATGATGAATTGAAGGGTTCGCAACCCAAAATTCATACTTGACAACCAAATCTGGTTATTGCGTAAGAATTCATTTCAAAAGTCTAACGCCCAATCGAGTAATTAACATCATAAAATCACTATCAGACTTTATCTAAATCTGTTTAGAATTTGTCAAAAAAATAAATCTGTTTAGAATTTTCTCAGCATGCAAATAAACAAAATACCCTCCCCTCTGCCATTCATTCACTAAAGCTTCAATTTCATTCTTAAAAGAAAAATAATAAGATCAATGAATGGGACAAGGATTCAGATGAGAGCGGCATTGGCCGTTTGGGATAAGAATAGATGATCAGTGAGGGGTTTTCTATTTTTTGTTCATAATTCCCAACAGGATTTGGTGAGAGTGAATAAAAGAAAGGAATGAGCAACTTGATGATTTGTGGCGGAAGATAAGAATCCATAAAGGGGGGGATGATCGATATTCGATAGGTGGCGGAGGAAAGATGAGGAAGTGTTTTTTTTTTTTTTTTTTTTTTGTCAAAAGATCGCTCGTATTAACGAGAAAACAGCCCGATACAAAATAATCACATAGCTAAAAACAGCCATTTTCTAATTTAATGGGCCTTCGTGGTAATAATAATAATAATAATAATAATAATAATAATAATAATAATATATCAGCTCGCAAGTAGAGACTGATACAATAATATATGGATAAAGTCCATAATTTTTTTTATATATTTTTTATTTGACATACATAGAGGTCAGACGTCAGACGTCAGAGGAGACATAAGTCATTACAAGGATAGCGAGGCAGAGAGGACAAAGGCAACAACACAAGAGGACCGGACGTACGCCCTCTTCCTACAACAGGCTACGGATGATATCCATAACTTTTATTTATTTGATATATATCTATATATATAGCATATATCTTGATTGCGGCGCGCAGTCAGTCGCCATTCTTTATGCAGCAGCTGAAAAAACAAAAGCAGCAGAGGGGGTTGATCCCCTGAAGCCGGCGGGAACTGGGAAGTCTCGCCGCTGCAACTGTACCGGCAGAGCACATCAGCAGGACAGTGAGGTACAGAAAGTAAAGAAAGAGGACATAACCACGTTTGGCCTCCATGGAATAGTGCTTCAGATTGTTTCAGCTCAGTTACCTAATTATTTGTGCTTATTGTTGAATTTGCTTCTGGTAGGTAAGGGGAATTACGTTTGCTGTTTAACACATGTATTTATACTAACAGCTCAGTTTGTTATTAGCAGCCATCCAACAACCAATCCCACATACCATTTCCTTTTAGTTAGTTAGGTGTATTTACTTTTCAAAACCCACCTTCTTAAGGATAACTGCTTTCGGTAATTAAATATTCAGTTGGTAGTTAGCAGGTAAGAAACAAATTAAAAAAATTGGTTGTTCGTTGAGCCATAAAGAACATTTCATCGGGCCGGGACAAAGTTTAGGCCTTTGTGTTTACTGGGCCTGTTTTGATCATATTCGTGTAGATCAATGGTTGGCGGCTGTGGATCATATGTACGTAGTAGAAGCGCGCGCCTATGTCGTAGGAGGACAAAGCTGAAAGACATGCATGGTATCTATGATACATAACGCGCGTGCTAAATTTGAAAGAGAAAAGCCTTAAATGGAATGGAAATAGTCTCCACTCTCGACTCCAGCACCATTGTGATCCGTGTTCCAAATGAAAGCTATCAGACAAATGCAGGCCAGCGCATTCCAATGAATAGTGGAGCCTCTATTCTAGAATTAAGATGTACGGTCCCATTATTTTAAATAATAATTCGAACTAAAATTAACCATCAACTCTTCGGTTGTTCTATGAAAATGGCAATAACAACGTTATTCATACAATAATTTGACATAAAATTAACCCACAACTCTTCAACTTTTGTATTACGCGAGAAATCATCACCATCATTAATTTATTGGGGATTTGATGTGTTATTTTCTAACACAAATAGGGCATTCATAACACATATAAGACTTTAACAATGAATATACGTGACTCGTTTATATAAACATGTGAACATTGAGCAAGCACGGCACAAGCAAGAGTGTTAATCAAACATATTTAAACACACACCATTATGACCATAAGCAATCAATTATACACGGCAAGTTATACAATTCAAGTTCATCATATAATATAGGACTGGATCCACTAACATACCTACGATGGAGGCCCCCTAATATTCTGAGACCCTATGCCGGAGGGCCTCTCTACACACTCTATTCGCCGGCCCTGAGGCTAACCCAAACAACATAAACCAAAAGATAGTGTAGGGGGATCGGTTACCGGTTACATCTGTTAACGGTACGAGAATCGGTCCCCCAAGGTACCAGTATTCTTCTCCTGATTTCTTGATATTCTCCAAATTACCTGCAGGGACATTTAGCAGCTCCCTACCTCAACGATGGCGTTTGGAGCGCGGAGTGGCCAGTGGAGGAAGAGGAATACAGAGGGGAGGAAACGGAGAGGCAAGTTTGGACAACGCTGAAAGGACTAAAAATAAGATCGGCTCTGACCATCTATAGATGTTGATCCACCTACCTATCTACCCAAAAATAGCAACGTGGACTCCAGCTACCAAGCACAGAAGTTTGGATGTATAGTTGAGGAATGAAGCACTAGCCAGCTAGGTAGACGGGAAGGTAAACTGATGGTCGTGGGAAATCGCAAAGGAAAACAAGATGAGGGATAAGATGGGAAATATAAATATTGTATGGTACCAAATGGGCTGGATTTAGATTGGGTCTGATTTGGAATAATTTATGTGGGTCGATGGATCTAGCTACTTAGCTTGAACTAAACCCAAATGCTACCACCACCACCAAACCCATTGCCATTGGCACCCTCCGTTATGTGTGTACACAATTCATATATATTTCAGTTATGGGGTAAATTGTAATGTCGGTCTCAGGGCAGGGGCGGAGCCAGGATTTGGTTTTCGGGGGTCTGAAATTTTCTAGTCCCTTACTGCAAAAAAATGTTTGACCTAAATAAAAATTATTTAAATTATTATTATAACTATATATTTTTAAAGATGATTAACATCATTCAAAACAAAATCTAAACTAACAAATTTTGCTATGATAGGTTCGATTAGGGCTGGCTATTTGGACCGGGACCGGATGAAAAACCGGAAACCGGACCTTATAACCCGGACCGAGACCGGACCGGGACCGGATAGTAAACAATCCAATCCAATCTTTGGGCTTAGATTTGAGGTAAAAAACCGGATAAAGACCGGATAAGAGAGCTCAACACCCAAAACTTAAGGGTAATTTGCATAAACGGTCACAAACCTTTGCACTTAGTACAAAACTTAACCAACTCCTCACCCTTTTAGGCCTTAGGCCACTCAAATTCCCACAATCTCAATATAAAATCAAGACCGAATTGGGACCGGACCGGGTCAAGACCGGACCGGATCAAGACCGGACTGTATCCAATCCAATCTTCGGTCCTTATATTTTCAAAAAAACCGGACTGGACCGGATCAATTTGGGCCAATTTAACCGGACCGGACCGTATAGCCACCCCTAGGTTCGATATAGATTACAAAAGAGGAAGAAAAATTAATAATTCGTTTAATATTATATAATCCATCATATTTTCAGACATAATAAGTTAAAATTTTTTAGTTAAAATCTTGATCGAGTTTTTAATTATATAGGAGTTTGAGAAAAAGAATATACAATTTGGAAAACAATTAGCTAATCTAATTTGAAACTATAGGACTTCGAAGAAATTGATAACTCATTATTTAAATTATTATTAGGGTTAATACCCTAGTTTGACCCGAAATATAGCGATAATGACAGTTTTGGCCCCATTTTTCAAATAAGAAATTTTGACCCACTTTTGAAATTATTGGATAAATTTGGCCGAGATTTTCTTTGACTATTAATATTAACAGTCAAACACTTATTTCGTCAGTGACTCAGCATCTAAGGTTGAAGTGGCAGTGATGTGGCTTCCATGTCATTTATTTATGCTAAAATAATAATAAATAAAACAAAAATAAATAGCATAAAAATTATGGATTTCCCGTCCACAAGCGCCTCCACCTTCCCCATCCATCGCGGTAGCCGTCCTCTCAGATTCCACTTTGTCGTCGTCAGCAAGATCGGCGGATTCACTCGAATTTCATCTTCTCCCTCGAATCGATCTGGAGTAAAAATCGAAAGCGATGGGAAGCTAGCAGTTGGGGATCTGAGGCCGACGATTTCGTCTTCTCTCCTCGTCGTCCACTGCACCTTCTCCTTCCACGGCAACTCTCGCTGTTGCCATCAGTCGTCGTTGTCATCCCTTGCCGTGTCAACTGACCTGGAATCCTGATGCTGGAAGGATTGGAAGACTGAAGCGAAGTGAAGAAGGAGAAGGATCAAACGTTGCCGTTTCCATTTCCTGTTTTAAGTTGTTGTTGCTAAACTCTGTCGTTTTACCTAAGTTCTATTAGCCGTTATTAAACACTGCTTTTGTTTGTAATAGGCCAATTGTCGATTGCCAAGTGGCAATCTGAACTAAGCTGATTCTTCAGCTGGTATATATACTGCAACAGAGCAACCCCTGCAGCTTTGAGGGTTTTGCCAATACCCTAGCAAATTCTCCATATGGTATCAGAGCGGAAACGCATCTAGGGTTACAATGTCTGCCACACCGCAGCCGACGAACCATGGGAAGGAAGCTGCAAGCGGATCACCAGGCTCAGGCGCAACTGGCTCTACTGTTCGAGGTTTCCAGTTTGGCACCTACACTGATCAGCAGCAGCATGAGCAACAACAACAAAACACTACCAGATCTGAGGTGATAACCTTCGGTAACCCATTCTACTTGAACCCTAATGAAGCATTGAACCAATCTATAGGTTCAGAAGTGTTTGATGGGACAAATTACATCATGTGGAGTAGATCTGTGATAATGGGTTTAAAGATGAAACACAAACTGGGTTTCATCGATGGGAGCATACCAATGCCTCAAGTGACTGATGATACATTTCTGTTGTGGGATGGATGTAACACAGCTGTGTTATCATGGATTTTAAATTCTCTGCACAAAGATCTTAGGCGTTCTGTCATGAATCATGTTAGTGCTAAAGTGCTGTGGGATGAGTTGAAAAGAAGGTATGGCAAACCTAATGCCATACGAATTACCAACCTGGAAGATGACATCCACAAGTGCAAGCAGGGGAATCGAACCATAAACCAGTATCACAATGAGATTAAAGGAATATGGGAGGAACTGGCACAATTCAGTCCCATAGTTCCATGTAATTGTGCTCCTGGTAACATCAATCCATGTGATGCTGTTGTAGCCTACACTGAAAGGCAGGAAACTGATTATCTTATGAGGTTTCTCAGAGGCTTACATCCAGACTATGAGATTGTTAAAAGTCAGTTATTATCTCGCAAACCATTGCCTACTGTTTCTGAAGCAGTGGATGATCTACTCCAGTATGAGCAGAAATTGAGAGCAGAAACTCATGGTGGAAGAAGGGCTCAAAGTGTGGCTCTAGCTGTTGAAGCTGAGGAAGATGAGAAGCCAAGAGGACAAGGAAAGAAGTTCTGTATCTATTGTAAGAGAACAAACCACAATGTTGAACAATGCTGGAGGGCTAAGAAGAAAAGAGAGCAGAATGGAGGAGGAACAGGAGGATCACAGGGCAATGCTTCCAGCTTTGTAGGATCAGTATCACAGGGAAGTTCCAATGATTCCACTACAGAAGTGAGCTACTCTAGCTCAGCTGACACTCCAGGAGGTAGCCCAGTAAGTTCTGCTAAGACAGTGGTTGGTTTTACACCAGAAGAAATGATCAAGTTAAGAAGCATGATGCAATCTGGTACTGGTAGCTTTCCTTCACCTCCAACCTCACAATCTTTACCTCACCATGCCTACTCAGTAACTCAAATTCCACCACCTTATCCTACTTACTCAGGTAAATACAGCCTGTCTACCTCAAGTCAGTTTAACCAAACCAATGTTTCAAACCTTTGGATCTTAGACACAGGTGCCTCAGATCATATTTCTTGCACACTAGCTTTGTTTATAGAGCATAAACCAGTTCAAGATGTCTATGTGAATCTGCCTAACACCACTAGGGTTCTAGTTACTCACATTGGTACAGTTAGACTGCCTACAGGCTTGATATTACACAATGTTCTTTTTGTCCCTAGCTTCTCTTTCAATCTTATCTCAGTAAGTAAGCTTACCAATGACTGTCCATTAGTCTTACACTTTCACTCCAATCTCTGTCATATTCAGGACCAGTTAAGCTTGAAGATGATTGGTTTAGCAAGAGAGCATAGAGGACTTTACCATCTCACCTTTCCACCTTCCACCCAAGATCAGCAGCCTGACCACCAAGCAGCCACCATCTTCAATTTCCATCCTTTGCAGTTTGACCTTTGGCATTGGAGATTAGGACATGCTAGTAGTGATAGAATTTCCCTGTTGCAGAAATCAAATTCTACTGTAACTAGCTCTAAGATTCTACACTGTGATGTATGCCACTTCTCAAAACACAAAAGACTTCCTTTTCCCATCAGTACCAGTATTGCAAAGAATGCTTTTGACTTGATTCATGTAGACATATGGGGACCTTTATCTGTTCAGTCATATGATGGTCATTCTTATTTTCTTACAATAGTAGATGATCATACAAGGGCAGTGTGGGTTTACCTAATGAAACACAAACATGAAACAAGAGAATTGCTAAAGGGTTTTTGTGCCTTGGTCCATAATCAGTTTAATACCACTGTCAAAACAATTAGAAGTGACCAAGGACAGGAATTCCACATGAAGGAATTCTTTATGGAGAAAGGGATTGAACACCAAATGTCTTGTGTAGAGACTCCAGAACAAAATGCAAGGGTTGAAAGAAAGCACCAGCACATATTAAATGTGGCTAGGTCTCTTAGGTTCCAGTCAGGTCTGCCCCTTACCTTCTGGAATGACTGCATTCTTCATGCAGTGTATTTGATTAACAGAATGCCTACACCAATTCTGTCTGGTAAATCCCCATTTGAAGTGCTGTATAACCATCAACCTTTCCTTGGCAATCTTAAGGTTTTTGGTAGCCTGTGTTATGCCAGTACCCTTGGGCATAACAGGACCAAGTTTGCACCAAGGGCCAGACAGTGTGTTTTTCTTGGGATTCCTGCTGGAGTCAAAGGGTTCAAGTTGCTTGACTTAGAAGATAGGAAGGTCTTCTTGTCTAGGGATGTTGTCTTTTATGAAACAATCCTTCCCTTTAGAGATTCCACAGACTCATCAGACTCACCTGCCTCTTCCTCTACTTCACCACCTCCTCAGTATGCAGCAACAGCTCCTCCTATCTTGGTTCCCACATCTTCCCTTCCTACTTCTTCAGCACCTGTTCCCTTTGATCAGGTCTCAGCTGCAAGGGGGGATGATGACTATGATGGTCCAAGTGAAGATGCTATTCCAAGTGAAACTGCTGAAGTGGTTACTGATGTTCCAACTGAGCAGGATTGTGAACTGCTTCCACAAGCTGACTTTGAACCTCCACCAAGAAGATCACAAAGACAGCCAGTGTTGCCTGCTAAACTTAATGACTGTGAACTAGATCCTCAATTGACTTTTGGGGCTTTTGGAACAGCAGCAAATGCAAGTAAGCATTCTATCTGTCTAAATGTTGAATGTCTGAATGAACAGGATAGAATTTATGCTTTAAGTGTGTTGAAGCATGAAGAACCAACCTCATATCATGAGGCAGTCAAATCCATTGAATGGAATAGAGCTGTGATAGAGGAGATACATGCTCTAGAAGCAAACCAGACCTGGGAAATAGTAGAAGCACCACCAGACAAACACATAATTGGTTGTAAGTGGGTGTTTAAGCTTAAACTGAAGCAGGATGGGACAATTGAGAGGTACAAAGCAAGGTTAGTGGCTAAGGGTTTCACACAAATATATGGGATAGATTTTTTGGACACTTTCTCCCCAGTGGCCAAAATCAACTCAGTAAAAGCCCTATTAGCCATAGCTGCAGTAAAAAATTGGACCATAGAGCAATTGGATGTATCCAATGCTTTTCTAAATGGGGACCTACAGGAAGATGTGTATATGCAGGTGCCTCAAGGAATTGTTTTACCACCTGGAAGTCCTAAGAGGATGGCTTGCAAGCTAAAGAAGTCTTTATATGGCCTCAAACAGGCCTCAAGGCAATGGTTTGCTAGGCTAACTGGTTTTCTGTTGAAAAGTGGATTTTATCAATCATCTTCAGACTATTCCATGTTTACTAAGTGGGTTCATGGAAGAATTGTTGTTTTACTTGTCTATGTGGATGATATAATCCTAGCTGGAGATGCTCAGAAGGATATTGATCAAGTTAAGAATTCTCTGAGTAAAGAGTTTAAGATCAAATTGCTTGGACCTTTAAGGTATTTCTTGGGACTGGAAGTCAACAGGACAGTAGAAGGGTTGATGGTTTGCCAAAGAAAATATTGTATGGATTTACTTGCTGATACAGGATACTTGAATGCTAAAGGATGCCAATCACCATCAGACCCAAAGATCAAATTAACAGCAACAGAAGGGACTTTACTTGAAGATCCAGAACAATACAGAAGGTTGATTGGGAGACTTCATTACATAACCATAACAAGACCTGACTTGACATACTCTGTGCAGCAGCTGTGCCAGTTTCAAAAGAAGCCCTACTCAGAACATCTACAAGCAGCCTACAGGGTACTGAGATATCTCAAAACTTGTCCAGACCAAGGCATTTACTACAGCAGTAAGGCAGACTTGAAGCTTGTGGGGTTCTGTGACTCAGACTGGGCCAGCTGTCCAGACACCAGGAGATCAACAACAGGTTATTGTACTTTTCTTGGGAGTTCTCTACTGACCTGGAAAACAAAGAAGCAGACAACAGTTTCCAGATCATCATCTGAAGCAGAGTACAGGGCATTGGCCTTACTGGTTTGTGAAATTGATTGGCTAAGGGTGTTGTTGGGAGAAATGGATGTCAAGATACCTCTTCCTGTTACTGTGTACTGTGACAACAAATCTGCAATCCACATTGCTGAAAACCCTGTGTTCCATGAAAGGACCAAGCACATTGAGATTGATATGCATGTTACAAGAGAAAGATTGAAGACTGGTTTGATTAAGTTGTTTCATGTGAGTACAATTAATCAGCTAGCTGACATTTTTACCAAGGGTTTGCACAGGATTCGACTGAATGAGCTTCTGGACAAGTTGGGAGTTAAGAAGAGCACTCACAACTTGAAGGGGGGTGTCAACTGACCTGGAATCCTGATGCTGGAAGGATTGGAAGACTGAAGCGAAGTGAAGAAGGAGAAGGATCAAACGTTGCCGTTTCCATTTCCTGTTTTAAGTTGTTGTTGCTAAACTCTGTCGTTTTACCTAAGTTCTATTAGCCGTTATTAAACAATGCTTTTGTTTGTAATAGGCCAATTGTCGATTGCCAAGTGGCAATCTGAACTAAGCTGATTCTTCAGCTGGTATATATACTGCAACAGAGCAACCCCTGCAGCTTTGAGGGTTTTGCCAATACCCTAGCAAATTCTCCATAGCCGCCTTCCTTCTTCGCCTCCCCTCTCCAATCGACAGCAACCCACGACATCCCTCGTCGTTGCCATCGTCCCTAAAAATCCAATCTCAAGCGAAAAGAAAGCAGACTGAATCCAATCGACAGGTCACTGGAGAGGTTCATGATTCTCGGCCTTCTTGTTCTAGGTCAAGTAAGCGACGACCAGATCTGGGAGTCATGATGGCTGTGGTGAGTGTGGCGATGTTGAGCCCAGCGTTGGTATTTGTTTCACGACCCTTCGTCTCCCTCCGCTCTGTCAACTCCGTCGCCTCCCTCTGCTCCATCGACTTGGCTGCCGGACATACACCAGATCCAAAATCCCCTTCTTTTTTTATAAACATCCAAAATCCCCATTTTGGCTCAGTGATTGGTCCCGGCAAATCAATTGGGGCAAATGTCAAAATCTTCTCCGAGAAGAGGAAATGGACGAGATGGAGACTCCTTTAGAGTCATTGCCACTCGTTGTTGTTATTCTTTTCGGGGGACGGACGTTGCCGGAATACCAAAGACGCAAGAAGGAAATACAGGCGAAGTGGGAAGAATAATGGCGGAGAGGGTTTTTCTTGTTTTTATTTTTTAGTTATTTGTTTAGTTTTTTATTGGCAAGTAATTGACACGGCAGCCATGTCATAGCCATCTCGGCATAAGATGCTGAGTCACTAACAGAAAAATACAGTGCCCGTCAGTTTTAACAGTCAACATCAATTTGGGTCAAATCTGTCCATTAATTTGAAAAGTAGGCCATAAATGTCTTATTGAAAAAATCGAGCCAAAACTGACACTTACGCTAAACTCCGGGCCAAACTAGGGTATTAACCCTTATTATTATAACTATATTTTTAAAGATGATTAACATCACTGAAAACAAGAACTAAACTAACAAATTTTGCTATGATAGGTTCGATATAGATTAAAAAAAAGGAAGAAAAATTAATAATTCGTTTAATATTGTATAATCCATCATATAAGTTAAAATTTTCAAGTTAAAATCTTGATCGAGTTTTGAATTACATAGGAGTTTGAGAAAAAGAAATATACAATTTGAAAAACAATTAGCTAATCTAATTTGAAATTAAAGGACTTCGAAAAAATTATAGCATTAAATATTGATAACTCATTTTTTAACTGAAAAATTAAAAGTCCGGAGCCAAAAATGCTAACACCCAACTTTGAAACCTCGATCTACCAGATGGTAACAGCCGCCTATCCACTATACTACACGTAATTTCTTGTCAGTAATTTCACACAGATAAATACTATACGTTTATCTTTATTTTATACGAAATTATCAAGAAGCATGTCGAGTTTACACGAGATGTTCGAGATTATCGCCCCCCCCCACCCCAAAGACTAGACGTAGCTCCACGCCTGTCTCCGGGATTACTAAAATTGGAAGGTAAGTTAGAACCCTTATGATACCATATGAAAAAGAACGAGATATAGAGAAGAAGCTGCTATGTTAAGTAGCTTAGAGGAAGAAGAATTGGAGGGCGAAACTCATTGAAGCTATCTGTTCTCTGTTTTGTATTTATACTAGTAGTCTTTCAGTACAGTAAAACTGGAAGGCAAGTTAAAACTGTAATTTAAAATGGATTTACTGTGCCTAACACGTGGAAGTAAGGCATTGAGTCAATACCAACGGCTAGCTAACAGTAGCGATTGACTTCGACTTTTGGCCCGGGTTCGATACTTCTCTGCAACTCATTTTTGTATTGCTTTGCTATTGTTCTTCACCTCTGCTAGCTCTCCATCATGCTCTTCAGGCTTCAGCTTGCTCTAATAAATATCTTTTGTTTAGCTAAATGACATGTTGGACAATGTGTAATAAGATTCCTATTATATCCAGTAGCTTGCTTCTCTCTTTCTCTACTTGGGTGTCCCAACTTCCAATGTCATAGGTCTATTTAATTTGATGTGGTGTAAAATTATACGCAAGTTATAGTCTTGGTGTGGTGATGAGATGGTAAATGCCCTTATCCTGTTTTGCTGAACCAATCGGGTTCTTGGTTGTTAGTTCATGAATAAGATAAAAGTTAGATTAAACAAATCAAAGACATAGGTAGGTCATGAGTGAGTTTGCTATTGGGGATCAGATTGAATGTAAAGCTAGAAACTAAGAGGATGTTTGATAAGGATAGACCATTAGCAAGCTTAACTCAACCTATGTCACTCACTGCTGCTTTGGAACCATTTGGCAAGTAGACAAATTGGTTAACTACAGGTCTAGTTTCAAGGAAAAAATCCAAAACTACCACTATAAAAAAAAAATACAAAAATACCACTCATACTCAACAATTTCAAAAAATACCACCCTTCCACACAAAACGCGCCTCGAAGGCGTGGTTCACAGTCAAACCACGCGTTCCATAGGCGGTTTGACCCTTCCTGTCTGTCAAACCGCGTTGCCATGTGGCGGCTCATGCGACCGCGCGATGGGGAAGCGATCTGACGGCCAAACCGTGCGCCAGCTCAGCGATCCGCGTCGCTCAGTCAAACCGTTCCTCCGAGGCGCGGTTTGCGCATTGGGGAACGTAAACCGCACGCTGGAGACGCGGTTTTAGGTGGGGAAAAAAGACAAAACCGCCCCTCCAGCACGCGGTTTCGTCCATATATAAACCCCTTACCCGCTCCCATTTTCTCCACACCAAACTTCATTCCCCCCTCTCTCTCTCTCTAACTCCTCACTCTACCCACCCCCTTCCCACCCAAAAACCTTAGAATTAGTTGTTTTGTAGGTTGTGGCTAAGTCTGATCTGCTTTCCAAAAACTTTTTTCTTTGGTTTTCACTAAAAAACCGTCGAATCTCTGTCCGGATTCTGAAAAAATGACCAATTTTATCCAAGAAGAGGGTATTTACTATGATGATTATCAAGAGATGCAGGCTTCGAGAAAAACAAGCTTCGAGGAAGATGTCTCCAGTTCCAGAGAGAGAAGCGAGGAAAGTGGAAATGGATATCTCTGAACGAGGAGCGAGCACAGATGGATGATGGTTGGTTTGCTGAGATTGGAAGCGTTGTGCTGTGGTTCGAAACGACAGTGATTTAGTTTTGTTGAGACTTTGAAGGACGACGTCACTGTGATGGTGGGATGCAATACGACGCCGTTCCTCTTTGCTTGAGAGGGACGTCACTATCCAACAGAAGACACATCCTCGTTTGGCTTCTCCTGCTTAAGTCCATGCGGTGGTTAAAAGGGGCACCTGGCCACCTCAAGGGCCTGGTGGGCCTAATCATGCTTTGTATAGCAACTTAATATTGGTTGTTTCTTTTTGCAGGAGACGCGTGGAATGGTTGGAAGTGTTCTGCATAGTTTATATCCTCTAATGACTTTTCAATTTGTGTGCGCTAAAACCTTGGTATTATCGGAGACCATTTATTTGTTAATTTTGTAAGTGATTTTTCTGATGAAATTGCAAGGATTTGCTTCTCTTCGTCGCATTCAGCATGGTTATTCTATGATTTAACTTTTATCGATAGAAGTTATGGATATTGCCCATACCGTATAGATATAAAGAACTGTTAAACATCTATGTCTATTGTTTCATTCCTTCAGTGAAAGAATTCAGAATACAGATGTTTCTGTTTAATTCAATTGAGCTCGATTAACAAGGGCAGATGAACTACTGAGAAAACTCAATCATAATTCAATCAAGTGTTCAACAAATTGTCTCACAAAGAAAAGAAGATTGAAAAAGGAAAGAAGAACAAATGCAGGAGCTACGCCCATATGAGCTTGAGTTCCTGGCAGAAAGCCCCAACTCAAGCTCTCCAGACACTTAACCTGAACCCTAACCTGATCTCCCAAAGGACACCCCAGTTCTTACTGAGATAGGAAACCGTTGCCAAATTCCTCCTTTGAGTTGCCTTTAAGTAGACTTTCGATCCTCGCCTTTGCTCTCTCTCTTCTTTAACGTCATGACCGTTGGTAGTGAAGGGAATGATTTCCGATGATGGTCGACTGCGATTTCCTTTTGGTGTTTGATGGATGGAGATGGGAATGAAAGCGAAGACGCCTTTGACAGTCTCGAAGTTGACCGCGGATAAGCTTGGGCTCATAGGCGTAGGCTTTTGTCTCTCTTTATTTCGAGACATTTTTGGGCCAAGGGCCCAACAATCTCCCCCTGCGATCAAGCTCTCATTCCTGTATCATCAACACCAATTCAATCTTCACAAGTGAACATTCTTACAGAACATAAACCAGACAGATAATTCTCTCAAGTTCTCTCAGTTAAGATAGACTGTAGGATAGCATCCCTAGTTAAGACAATGGAGCACATATCAGGCATGGATCATAAGATTAATTTATTCTGCAAAAAATATCTCATGACTCATTGTTTAGACCCATATGGTCTTAAAATACTTTCATATCAGCTCATCAGAACATATCAAACACATTCATCAAACTCATTCATAGACCATTATGGTCTTTTTATTTTAAAGCATAGACAAGGAGCAAGAAATACTAGCATAGACCATTATGGTCTTTCAAACCAGTGACATGGAGCAAGAAGGACTAGTTCAGATAGTTTTTATTTTATGAGTTTTCTTTAATCTTTCGGGACTAAGTTTTCTTTTGGCTCCCTCTGAGTCCCAACATCCCCCTCCATCATATTTTTCCTTTGATTTTCAGTATCCTCTTCCATAGCATTCTCCCCCTGATAGCCAGACACAGCCTCCATCATTTCCCTCTCAAGATCTTCAGCAAATAAGCGGATTTCCTCTTCAGATACAGTTTCAGGTTCAAGTTCAGCTTCTTCTTCTTCAAAGGAAATGATCAGATTTTTGCGAATGGAAGATGGCTCCCCAAGTTGCAAGGTTTTAGATCTATGCTTGGTGAGTCTGACAGTAGCTGGGTCGAATGATTCTACCCCTTTCGAAGGCTGAGGGTCTACCCCTATGTAGTTCAGGACAGTAAGGGCAGGAACAAAGACTGAAGTCTCGACAGAGGAATGTCCATTGAGGGAGAGACCAAGATTGGACAACAGCAAGGTGATGAACCCTCCATAAGGAAGACGACCATCAAGGTGAGCATCAACACTTCGAAGTATGGAGCCAAAAAGGAGTTGTGAATAATCTAATTTTTTGCCGGTCAGGGCATTTGAAAGGACCCAGAGATCAAGTTTGGTGACAATATTAAGGTCATGAGTACGAGGGAGGAAGAGGTGAGTGATAAAGTAGTGGAGAGTGCGAAGGGTGGGGTTCAGATCAGCAGAAGTGATTACTTCATTGGCAGCAACTCGTCGCTGAGTGATGCGAGAGTATTCAACCTCATAATCAAAGTCATAGAAGAGGAATTCATCCTCATGAGCAAGGGGAAGAGGTCCATCAATAGGAAGATTCAGCAGAACACCAATAGCCTCAACAGTGAGAGAGATGAAGTATCCATTAACTAGGGTAGTCAGTTTTCTGGTGATGATACCTTGACAGTCAAGGTTTGCATAGAATGTTTTGAGAGGTAAGGGACAATTAGCAAGAGGAGGATAATGGAGAAGGAATTCCCATCCAAGGTTCCTAATGAAGGGTGAAATGTCGATTCCAGAGGCTTTGAATTCATAGAGATCAAGAGTTATGGGGTCGGAAAGTCTGCGGGAGGCAAAGAATTCCTTGAAGCTATGGAGGTTGAACTCAATAGGTTCATTGAAGGTTCTCCCAACATAGGTGACAATTGCACCAGGGATGTTGGAAGAGGTGAAAAGCTCAGTCATAATGGGATTTGAGATGGCAAACTGTAAGATGAGCGGAGAGGATAGACAGGATATATATACTAGGGCCTAAGAATACTAAGAGTTGCCATAAAGACTTAGGAAGAATACTAAGAGCAGCAGTCAACTGACTGCAGCTTTTCAAGGCATAGGGAATTTAAACAGCAAATTCATGTACATTCAAGCATTCAGAGCAGGAAAACTATCATAAATAGAGTCTTTATTGAATTTTAAACGAGAACAAGGAAGGATAGTACCTGGATTATTGACCATTCTAAATCGAGTGCAGGGACTGTAGTCCAAGTTCATCACAAAGTCTAATGAATTTTTCAGAGGGTAATGCTTTTGTAAAAATGTCAGCAATTTGAAATTCAGTAGATATGAAATTTAATTCAACAAGACCAGCCTGAATTATGTCTCTAATGAAATGATGTTTGACTTCAATGTGTTTGGTTATGCTGTGGTGAACAGGATTCTTGGACATGCAAATTGCACTTGTATTGTCACATAGAATAGGAATTTTATCAAAACAGATTCCATAGTCAGCCAATTGGGATTTTAACCACAGGATTTGTGTACAACAGCTGCCAGCAGCCATGTATTCTGCTTCAGCTGTTGACAGGGCAACCGACCCTTGCTTTTTACTAGACCAAGATACTAAAGACCCTCCAAAAAATTGACAATAACCACTGGTACTCTTTCTGTCAGTGATGCTTCCAGCAAAATCAGAGTCTGAATAGCCTATCAGTGACAGAGCCTCAGATCTTGGATACCATAAACCAAGATCATGAGAGCCCTTAAGATATCTAAATATTCTTTTCACATCACTCGGATGACTTTCTTTAGGTTGACTTTGAAATCTAGCACACAAACAGACACTTAACTGAATGTCAGGTCTGCTAGCAGTTAGATACAGTAGTGAGCCTATCATGCCTCTGTATTTTTTTCACAGACTGATTGTCCACCAATGTCATGATCTAGATGAGTATTTGATGCAATAGGTGTTTTACTAGGTTTTACATTCATCAAGTCAAATTTAGATAACATAGACTGTAGGTACTTGGTTTGATGAATGAAAATCCCAGAGTTAGTTTGATGAATTTGTAGACCAAGAAAGAATCTTAATTCACCCATTAAGCTCATTTCAAACTGGCTTTTCATGGAGGAATATAATTCATCACACATACTGGGATCAGTACTGCCAAAAACAATGTCATCTACATACACCTGAACTATCAAGGAATGATTATCTTTTCTTTTTATGAAAAGAGTTTTGTCAACTCCACCTTGACAGAACCCCTTTAGAAATGAGAAAGGAGGTTAATTTGTCATACCAAGCTCTGGGAGCTTGTTTAAGACCATAAAGGGCTTTGGAAAGTTTAAAAACATGGTCAGGAAATTCAAAGTCAATAAAGCGAGGAGGCTGCTCAACATACACATCTTCTTTAATTTCACCATTCAGGAAAGCACTTTTCACATCCATTTGATATAGTTTAAAATTCACGAGACTAGCATAAAGCACATAAAAGTCTGATTGATTCTAGCCTAGCTACAGGAGCAAATGATTCATCATAATCAATTCCTTCCTCTTGACTATACCCCTGGGCAACTAGTCGAGCTTTGTTTTTAATAATAAAGCCTAGTTCATCATATTTGTTCCTAAAAATCCATTTTGTGACAATGACTTAAGAGTTTACATGTCTAGGAACCAGTTCCCAGACCTTTAATATGATGAAATGTGACAATTCTTCTTGCATGGCAAGTAACCATTCTTCATCAAGAATAGCTTCCTTATAGCTTTTAGGTTCAAGTAAAGAAACGAAGGCATACTGACCAGGTGTGTACTTACCTCTGGTTTGGATAGGATCAGATATGTTACCTATAATCTGAGATGGAGGATGTCTTTTCTTGATGTGAGCAGGAGCTTCAGGATCCTCAGGAGAACTTACCTAGTCAGAAGTTGCTTGTGGACTGGAGTTTGTTTCTACAGGATTCTGATGGTTTGATGAATCACCTGTCTCAAGAAAGGAGCTAATAGGAAGGAAGTCATAGTTATTTATATCTGAACTTAAGGGAAGCGGAGACTCAGATGAGTCAAACTTATTATGAACTGACTCCTCAACCTTTCTTGACTTTCTATTAAAGACTCTGTATGCTTGACCTTTACTAGAATAACCAAGAAAGATAGCTATATCAGACTTTGCATCAAACTTTCCCAGTTGATCCTTAGTATTCAGAATGTAGCATTTTGAACCAAAGGGTTGAAAGTAGGACAGTTTAGGAACTTTTCCTTTCAGAATTTCATAAGGAGTCTTATTGATAATTTTTCTAATGGTGGTACGATTTATCACATAGCAGGCAGTACTTACTGCTTCTGCCCAAAGGAATTTAGGAAAATCATATTCAAGAAGCATGGTTCTGGCAGATTCAATGATAGATCTGTTTTTCCTCTCTACAACTCCATTCTGTTGTGGAGTTCTAGGGACAGAGAAGGTGTAAAGAATACCATAATGATCACAGAAGCTACAAAAGTTGTCATTTATGAATTCTCCACCATTATCACTTCTGATGCTTTTAACAAGACAGTCAAACTGATTTTGCATTAGAAGCACAAAGGATTTGAACTTAGAGAATGCTTCATCTTTGGAAGATAGAAAGTAAACCCAGGTAAATCTGGAAAAATCATCAACTATCACTAGCACATATGATTTTCCTCCTAAGTTTTGGACATTAGTTGGACCAAATAAGTCCATATGCAGAAGATCAAACTTAGCTGAGGTGGTGATGTCCTGTTTACTTTTAAATGTCTTCTTACAGTGTTTTCCTAATATGCATGCTTCACAAGTGAAATTATCTGAGGATTTAATCTTAGGTAGTCCTCTAACCAAGTTAAGTTTCGAGAGTTTGTTCATGCGAGAAAAGCTCATATGCCCTAATTTTCTATGCCATGTGACTGCAGATTCAGTCATCGAACTTAGACATATATTCTCTGAGAGGTCAAGAGTGGAGAGGTATACAGTGTACACATTATTAACTTTCTTACCTTCAAAAATCACAGCATTATCAGAGATTCTTTCAATTATGCAGCATAGTGGATCAAAAATAACACGATAGGTAGACCCACAAATCTGACCTATGGAGAGCAGATTATGCTTTAAACCTTCTACATAAAGAACATCTTCAATAACAAGTGAAGAATTACTACTAATAGTGCCTTTTCCAACCACTGAAGCACAGTTGTTATTGCCATAAAAAATTTTACCTCCTCTGTTTGGATTAAGAAAAGTAAAAAGGGCTTTGTTACCAGTCATGTGGTGAGAGCATCCAGAGTCTAAGTACCAGATGTTAGCACCTTTATTATTCTGAAAAAAATTAGGTTTAGTTAGAAGATTTAGCAACCCAAACAAGTTTGGGTTTATGTTTTCTGGAATAGCATTGTTCATAGGTATGTCCTGCTTTCATGCAGAAAGAGCAGATTCTGTGATCAATCCAGGGTGAAAAAGATTTTTTTTTTTATATCTATAAAGGTTCGAGTGAGAACAGTTCCATCTAGTAGAATAGGTTTGAGATGCTTCTCAGTGTGATTTGTTTACCAATCTGTTGCATTTGCGAAGTTGTTTCTTTAGAATTTTGTTTTCAGTAATGAGATTAGCAACTTGTGAGTCCTGAGTAATTTGAGCAGCATGTTGTATGTCTATGTGTTCTTTTATTTTTTGTATTTCAATGTTTTTGTCATGCAACTGTGTTATAGTAAGCTGGTACTTACTTATCAATCTGTTGCATTCCTCTTGTAGATTGGAAAGAGCATGATTTAGGATTGATTTGCAGTGTGGCGCTGGCGTTGGAGCCTGGAGGTTTAAAAAATGAGAGTTCATCGTTGCCATTTCAATTTTCTCTGGCTAGGGTTTGGGTCAGCAACAGCTTTGTTTCCAGAAACAAATAATTTGGCTACATCCATCTATGTTTTTCCACCGCTGCATGCATCTCATCGTCCGGCTACAGCTCCATTTCAATTCCCGGTCTACGCCTCTCCAATTTTCTTCAAATCTCCCTGGCCAGATCTTGAGTCTTAGAAAAAATTGATTCCGAGCTTGATTTCAAAAAGTGAAACAGAGCTCACAACAATTGATGTGCAAAAAGGTAGGGGTTCAGAATGAAATCAGATTTGGGTTTTGGAGATGCTGGCTGTGACGATTGTGAAGAAGGTATGGGAAAGTTCCATGGTGGGAGGTGAAAAAGAGAGAGGGAGGAAATGTTTCTTTTGTGTTTCTTTTGAGTTTTGATTAGGGCTTGGAATTCGGTCCCAATTTTTCGGTCAAATCGGAAACCGTGCAGTTTAAACCGTCCCAGTTGTAACCGCAAACCGAATTTTAATTAACCCAATCCAGTTTGCGGTTGTAGTATTCATATAAAAAACTGGCCCGGTCCAATCCGGTTAAAATTGGGCAAACAGCGGAGAGCCGACCATCGTCACTCCGCCACCAGAACTTGCCGTCGCCAATCGCCTCGCTCCATCATCCATCCCTTTCGATCTGACTTCTCCCAGTTGTTGGCGACCAGCCACAGCGACATCCACGCTTATCCCTCTCGTTCCGCCATCATCTGCTCTAGATCCATCACTTACGGCAGTGGCGATGGCGACAAGGACTCTCGTCTGTTCGTCTCTTAGCCCGGTTGATTGGAGGAATCCGAAATAGAAGAGATGGAGGGAGCGGCCAATGAGGGTCTGAGGGAGGTCGAGATGGATGTGAGGTAGGCAGAGAATCGACTGTGAGGTGAGGACGGAGAGAGAATGGAATTGAAGCAGATAAGAAAGAAAGAGAAAGGAAAGTGAGGTTGAAAGGAAACAGTCTGCATCCAGTTTTTGGTTGAAACCGGAAACTGTCCGTTACTGTTATTGAATTTTTGACAGAGAATGTCACGTCATCGACCAAGACATCGTTCACGTCGGAATGCTTTTAATTTATAACTTTAAAACATAAAAATTTAGTCAGTATTACTAACGAAATTGTTAACAGATAGTTAACGTTTGGCTAATAATTTGAATTTCCATAGTTGTGACTATAATTTCCCGCTTCATAATAGTTGTTGCTAATATATTGTAATTTACCCATATTTTATTTCAAAGATATTACCAAAAGAGAGAACAACTAGATACGAATTGGAAACCTTTTCAAACAACCATAATAATACATAAAAGAGAAAGTGACGACGGTCGACAAATAACCGAACCATCGATAAGAGAGCCTTTTTCGCTACACAACGGGCAGTTCTTTATATCTATACGGCATGGACAATATCCATGACTTCTACCCTATAAAAGTTAAATCATAGAATAACCATGCTGAATGTGACAAAGAGAAGCAAATCCTTGCAATTTCATCAGAAAAATCACCTACAAAATTAACAAATAAATGGTCTCCGATAATACCAAGGTTTTAGCGCACACAAATTGAAAAGTCATCAGAACACTTTCAACCATTCCACGCGTCTCCTGCAAAAAGAAACAACCAATATTAAGTTGCTATACAAAGCATGATTAGGCCCACCAGGCCCTTGAGGTGGCCAGGTGCCCCTTTTAACCACCGCATGGACTTAAGCAGGAGAAGCCAAACGAGGATGTGTCCTCCACCGCCGCCACCACGGCTAACAGGGGATAAGACTGAGCCATGACACGCTATCTAGAACCCGGAAAAGACAATGCAACTAAAGATGCACATTACCGTTATCGGCGGGGTTGCCGGTGCCGGGGCCGGCAAGGCAGAAATCATGAACAGGTCGATGAGGAGGAGAGCAAATTTGAAGAGCCTACATCAAGGTAAACAAGGAAGAATCGAAATATAACCCAAAGAAATCCCTAATTGGAATCAATTAAGCAAGAAGCAGAGATATCGAAAGGCTGAAGAGGGCATTGTGACAGAAACCTAATTTACGGATTCTATCATACTTATCATAATAATTATCATTAAGATATCTAATTAGGATTTTTTTCCCAAAGTCAGTGTTGAAAAGATAGTCACAACGAGGAAGAAAGAAAAACGCGGGAGTCGACCAATAGTCGAACTCCCGATGAGAGGGCCTTTTGTGCCACATGATAGGCAGCCCTATTTAGTCAACGAGAAACAAAACAGTAAGAAATCCAACTGAAATGAGAAGCTAAGCTCCGAGTATCCTCTAGTAGAGCTCCACCCCGATCATGCGCCAAGTCGCCTCCCACCATCCCGTCGTATCAATCGTTGTGAACTGGTAACCGACAACCGATTTGTCAGTCCTAATGACACTTACAACCCTGACCTGTAATCTTTAACAAGTTGTACCATTATTGTTGATGTAAGCTTTATTTTTTACTGTATTTGTTTTAAGTGCTTTGAACGTACCCTTGATGTCTCTTTAATTTTTAGTGTGTTTAAATTAAGTACTTTGAATTTATCCTTGATGTATCCTTTTAATTATGTTTCTGTTCAATTATTAATACAACAAATCTCTTGAGGATCCAAATTAAAAAAGAAATTGATGACATCATATTTAATTAGTGATGGAAACAATTGAGTCCAAATAAAAAAAATTATATCAAAATTATATCTTAATTAATTGTTACTGCTTATGTAAAAATAATGATCAAATTATCAAAATAAATGAAGAGATCAACTATAGATTGATTTTACAATAAAAACACAAACCAAATACCATCTTTTTTCTTCCCACCCATTTGGCTAAACTCTTCCCCCACCTGCTTTTCCCACTCTATCTTCCCTCCCACATTGTGGTTGGTCTTGCTTTTACTTAGGTTGCTGAAAATTTAAAATGGAGAAAATTTAACTCATGAATCTCCTTCATATATTTTATGGGTAAATTGCAAGTTTGGTCACTGAGATTACTAAAAACGTTTACGTTTGGTCAATGACAATATTTAATTCCGTTCATGATCACTAAAACTAGTTAAACATTACAAGTTTGGTCACTCTCCGTCCAACTCCGTTAACTTCTGCTTACATGGCAGTCAACTCTTATAGTTGACTGTTAAATGTGTGACATGACAATTAAAAAAATATAAAGTTTAATTATTTTTTTTAGAGTTTCCACCTGAATTATAACTAGAAAAAAATAATTTTTTTTTCCTCTTCACCACCTTTTAAAATGTTGTGCCATAGCTTACTCACACGGTTGCTTAGCTGATTTACTGTACTGCATTTGTCCTGTTTGCTTTTCCTCCTTTACTTTTTTAAGGCTATAAATTATTTATTTGCTATTGTACGTTTTCCTATTAAATACTTTCGTGTCCTTTATTATTTAGTGTTTCCTTTAGACGTAAAATTCATGTTGTATGATTCTTACTGTTTTTTATTTTATTTTATAGGTAATTATTCTAAATAAAGATTTGATGAGTATAACAATTAGGAGAGCATCTGAATTCATCAATGACGTCAATAAATATATTGAGTTCTCTTTTGTCATTCTACCAATCAACAAGTCATTCGTTGTCCTTGCACAAAGGGTTGAAAAGTTGCATATGCGAATCGTTGAGCCAAGAATTTTCATTAGTTAAAAATGGAATCTTAAGACATTACACGACCTGATACTCTCATGAAGAAGTTGCAAGTAATAATATGAGGACACCTGCTAGTGAAGAAATTAATGAAGATCCTACCTGTTGTGATATACTTGATGGTATGGCTGGATTGATACATGATGTGTATGACATTGGAAGCGACGAAGAAGATTTTGTGGTCGGAAAAGAAGAGCCAAATAAAGACCTTGCTACCTTCTATCACTTGCTCAAAGAGGCCCATGAGAAAATGCACTCAAATTGCGAGTACACTAAACTAGCCACGATTGTGAAATTGCTCCATCTCAAGAGTCTTCACAAGTGAACTAGTAAGCATTCTATCACTTACTTAGAATTGTGAGGGCACTAATTACCAATGGAAATGATAATTTACCTGAATCTTTCAATAGTGCGAAAAAAGTACATTGTTGATTTGGGTTTTGGTTGTGAGAATTTTGTGAGAATAGTTGCACGTTGTATTGAGGTCATCATAAGGATGCAAGATCTTGCCCAATATATGAATCTCTTAGATATGGGAAGGGAAAACCACACAAGGTGTTACGATATTTTCCCTTAACTCACAGCAGAGGTTATTTACATAAAGTAAAACAGCTTCGCAAATGAGATGGCATAAAGAAGGGAGAATTGAGGATGAGATAATCAATGAAACATCTTACTGTTCCAACCTTTTAGTAATATGAGCTCCCAGCATAGTATTTGGCTACTGGTGCTTGTCCCATACAACTTGTCCCCTGGTTGTGCATGAAACAACCATTTTTTATCATGTCAATGATTATAACCGGCCCTAGTAGCCCTAGTATGCACATTGACATATTTTTGCAACCCTTGATCAAGGAATTGGAGAACTTATGAGTGGATGGAGTGAATGCATACGATGCCCATTTGAAAAGGAACTTTGAGTTACAAACTTCTATTTTATGGACTATTAGTGACTTCTCGGCATATGTTGATTTGACGGATATTTTGTTGACTAATATCTGTAATAAGAAATATTAGTCTTTGATATTATTTTATTTCAGGAAGATGGGACAAGAAGCATTTTTTGGGATATGATTTTATTTATGTAATAAGGAATATTAGAATCAATGACTAACAAGGTCATAGGTATGATGTAACGTGTCTTACTTAATTTTGCTGTGTCGCAATTAAGTTGATTTAAAAGGGAGGAAGCAGAAGTTTTAAATGCAAGCTGTCCGTAAGTCAATGCTGAATCAATTTGTTTTGCCATCTACTAGTAGCGATTAGGTTCGTAAACCAAACAGTCATCGCCAATTCAAATTAGCAAGCAATTAGTGCAGAGTAAATTCCATTAGTTTCGTCACCGCTACCACGTGTTTGACCAACCTAACAGTAATCGCATGCAAATTAGCGTAGTATATAATAGAGCTTTGGCTGCTACTACACCTTCGCTCATCTTCACTGCATATCTGCCTCCTTAAAAACAAAAATACCATGGGAAAGCTCCATACTGTTCTGTGTACTGTTCTAATTCTCGCGGCGGCGTTCCGGAGTGCGGTGGCGTTCGATTATTACACTTTCGCGCAGCAGTGGCCAGCTGGCCGATGCTCTGTACGTGACGTACCATGCTATCTGCCCCTGATCGACTACTTCACAGTGCATGGGTTGTGGCCCTCACTCTACGGGGGAGGCTCGATCACGCGATGCGGGTACAAGAACGGGCCAACTTTAGCGGTAAATACTCTTCTTAATTAATTATCTTCAGGTCGTCTTCCTATACTAGGTATATCTTTAATTTAGACTAATATAATACCACGCATGCAGATGGAACTAAATAACGATGTCCTCGGCGCCCTCCCAGTATTAATGCCTCAAATCTTGAACTTCCCCAACCTTGTAGGTGACCCGGACCTAAACTTTTGGGCATATGAGTGGAGCAAGCACGGGAGCTGCGCCCCGCTGCAGCCGGTTGATTACTTCATGGAAATAATCCGGCTATTCGGGGACATCAACCTCCTCCAGGTTTTGGGAAACCAAAACATTGTGCCGGGTGGAACCTACGCCGCGAGAGATTATCGCGCCGCAATCCCTAACAGCAATGCGTCGATCAAGTGCGGGTTAGATTTGAACGGGAGGTATTTTCTCGTCGAGATCCGACTCTGCTACGACCTCAATAGGCAGCCGATGGCTTGCCCATACTCGGGTTTCATGTCCTGCGGCGGTCCACTGAGCCCCGTTGACTTCACGGCAGTTTAATTTCAGTTCTAAGAGGATGGGATGTGATTAAGCTTGGGAATAAGGGAACTTAATTGTTGGGATTAGGACTACTTGAACACGGTTGTTGTTTTAGTACAAATAAAGTCAAGTTGTCTGTTCTCGTTAAGTCTCTATTTGGTCCTTATTGTCTTAAAGTATGGTTAGTTGAAAAAGCAGGCTGTTTAAGGTTGTTAAGGCTATTTATTTATGTAGTATCTCCTTCGTTGCCAAACAAACAAACACAAACGCATCATTCTCCATCAAACGTAACTCCAAAAGGAAAAAGTACCCCACAAACAAACACATCATTCTCCAATCCATCAACGTAGAACACCAAAAATGAATCCCAAAGTGCCTTTCCATTATCAAATTCTCTGTCATTCCTTTATCATCACTCACATCGGCCCACCACACAATTATCAAAAGGAACTACGTACTAATCTATTTGTGACACCACAAATCACACTTAAATTAGTATTTCCCCTAATTAATTACCCTTCCCGGCCCTTACATAATTGCATTTTATATCTATTACACCTATCAACTCATCCCACCCAAATCTCCCATCTCTCTCACCCTACTCGCCTGCAAAGCATCACAAGAGACCACACCCATCATTTACCATCTTGTCACTCCATCATCACGGAACAATATTAGCAGACCCACCTCCTAACAACCATACCCAAGCCATGAGAATTGAGCTGGCCAAATTAATGGTGGATGGAGTGAAATGGTAAAACCACTAGTGTCGGTAATCTCTCCTATAACTTCAATCCCCCTCCTTCATATTATGTATGTAAAATCGAGCACAAACGAAAGAGACACGAGATTTTTACGTGGATGGAGCATGGCATTGCATTTCATCATGAAGCTCTGTTTTAAAGCAAGCAGGTACAAGTTTACGTTATTAAAAAGTTCATGGATTTACGTTTCAAGTTACCAAGTTATCAAGTAGGAATATGTTGTTAACTACTCGCTTGACTAGCAACACGCGACTACCTTACTTCCCGCTAGGTGGAAGTTTATGATTATGATAAGTTATGTTGGTGCCGGTAAGTTCCTTAGATAGCAGCGGTTACCTTACTTCCCATTAAGTGAAAGTTTATGATTATGATGTGTCCTCCCACTAGGTGGAAGCTCACATATATATATGTTACGATTGGTGCTGGTCCGTGTGCTAGTTGAGTCGAATTACTAAACATAAACGAAAAAATATTAATAATTCAAATTACTAAACATAAGCAATTTTACAAATTAAATAAATTTTTGCTAATGGTTGAATTGTGCTTGAAAAAATAAACATTGATAATAGCACTTCAAATTATTATAAATCATTGCGAACCAAATTGATAATACGATGTAATAGTAAATAAACTTCAAGTACCAACAAATTGAAAACACAATTTCACTTTTGCTAATGTTACAAACAAAACATAACATAAAAAGTTAATAATGTCATATAAAATTATTAAAAAACATGTCGAACAACATTAATAATAACACAAACGAATACATAACAACGAAAAATCCCAAACCCATGCAACGAAAAGCCCTAATGATGATTCAATTTATAAATATTGATAATGTCATTACAAAATGTTAATACTTAATACTAATCGGAAGTTGCCAAGATGTGAGAGAGACATATATTTTAAATTTCAAATTCCATTTTAGAAAAAGAAAATTATTAAATTCGGATTTTATTAAATATTAAATAAAATTAATTTCATATTTCTTTTTAATTATAATGTAGAGAGGGTTATGGAGAAAATCATGGAAGGAGAGAAAAAAAGAATCATTAATTAATTATATTTGCATACCCCATTTACTCTTAAATACCTATTAACTACTAACCCCCATTAACTACCTAATCCACTACCAGCCAATAGAAAGGCTTTAAGATTCTCCTTAAAAAAGGAGACTTAAGGACTTGAACTCAACCCATTAACAGTTGCTAGTGGGAGGCCAAACTCTTGTTGATTATTAGTTACTTCTCAAATGTGGAAAAGTGATCTTTTCCATTTCTTACTTTCTCCACTTAATGCATATTAACATCATCAATTACTAATTTTGCATTGGACTAACGGGTATAACGGGTGCCCGTAATACCCAAACGGGTATTAACGGGTAACCCGCGTGTACCCGAAGTAGTGATTCTTAATCCCAAGTCTCATCCCATAAAAAATTACGGGTATTTGGGTACTCGTAACCCTCAAAAAACGGGATGGATACGGGTATACCCAAATACCTGTTTCCCGTTGCCCACCCCTAGGGCCACTAAGCTCATGGCTCATCTCAATGGACACTATCCACCGTCCACACCGAGGTTTTATCCCGGGTTTCATCTATCGGTTTAGCCTCCGATACTAGTATTTTGTGGTTTAAACCGCCGGTACGGTACGGTTTCATGGACCATGACAAATTCACAATCATTCCCAAAAAAATCTATCAAACATTTACTAAATGTATGTTAAATCTTTTCATGCTAAATACAAATTTTTATTTTACCACAATCATTTATTCTCATTATTTGTTTTGATTTCTATTATGGACACTTTGACTACATCATCCTTACAAAATGACTAGCTTGATTTTACCGCAGTCATTTTTCTCATTGTTTGATTGATTTATATCACGAACCATTTGAGTTAATCGCCGTTGCCAAAATGTTAGTTTGATTTCTACCGCTAAAATTTTTTTCTCATTATTTGATTGGTCGCTTTCTGCAGTTCATGGCCATTGTACACGGCAGCGATCTTCAGCCCGTGAACATGGTCATGGCCATATGGTCACGCCCGTGACCTGTGTCTTTTCTCTCCTTCTTGCTCCTATGCTTCCAATCATGCTCAGATGAACTCCAATCAATTCCCGATCAATCCCAAATGAATATAAGACCTGTAATTCATCACAAACACTCGGGAAAGCATAAAATACGACAAAGTGGGGTCGGTTCCCCTATGAAAATCTTTATATCAAGAAAACCTATTCCAAAATGGATGTCTTGCAAATAGGAACGAATAAAGGTATAATTAACTTGATATGTGGCCTAGACACAATAAGTTAGCATGCAAATACCTTAATAATGAGGGCTCAATAACGCCTATTTTAGATGTTATTAAGGAAAACTTAATAATGAGGGCTCATGACAAATAGCATCAGAAAACAAGGACATTTGACGAAAAGTGACTCCTGCCTGGACTGTGATGGTATTCCAGAGACGGGGATACACTGCGTCAAGGAATGTTTATGTCATTGCGGACAAAATATTAGAGACTGGCTTGATTGTTATGGAAAGAATGGGAGCTCAATTTTTTGGAATGTGTATTGAAAGATTTCAAAACAATGATAGAATTAGAGGAACGCCAACTTCTCATCTGCTACAAATTGAGGGAATGAAATTCAAGTTGGACATCAAGCTCACAGATTACAACATTGCTAATCCAACAAATGAGTACACAATTTTCAAGATAAGGAAGGATGAGGAAGAGCAGAACACAGACGATCATCCTGGCTTAATCAGGGTATTTAATTTTAGGGTAAATACAATATAATAGCCAAACCTTTTCGAAAATAATTTAATAGCCAAACCGTTAACATTTCGTCCGGTCAACCTTTAATTGACTATAACGTGACAAAATCATTAGTGAAGTGGATTGTTTGTATGATGTGGGAAAATCATAGTACTCTGTTCATTCCCCCGAAAGGAATCCATCTCTACTTGATGCAACCTCAAACTCCCACAAAATCAAACAAACAAATCTCTACAAATCATGGACCCAATCAAAACAGAATAGAGATAACAATGAATCAACTTAAAGCATCCCCATCAATGCAATTGCAAAAGAAATTGCATTTGTGTTTTTCATTGTCAACCCAAATTTTTTGCAATCTACATCACATTCATTTCATTCACCTACATCAATGCAATTAACTTGCAATTGCAAATATAATTAAATATTATGTTTAAATTATAGAAAGTTAAGTAAAAGAGAAAAGAAAATAATATAAAATACAAAATCCCCATTTTTTAGGCTTTTTTGACTTGCATATGGAATTGCATCTGTTGCAAGCTTGCAAATATGTAATTGGTAGTCATATCAATGCAATTGGTTTGGCAATTGCAAACGTGAACGGCTATTTGCCGCCAACCAAATTGCTATTTGCCGCCAACCAAAAAAAAAAAAAAAAAAAAATTCAAATTTTGAATTCAAATTTTGAATTCTCCCTTCCTTCCCTTCCTATAAATTCGAATACCATAACATTACCTCATTCCAACAAAACACTTTTGTCGACGAGCCCAGTGCCTCCGTCGCCGGCACAGTTCCTCCGTCGCCGGTCAACTTCCCGTCGTCCTCAATCGTCGGAAAAAAAGTAAGTTTACTTTTTCCGGCAAGTTTTTCTGTTTTTCCGGCGATTTTTCCAGTTTTCCGGCGAAAAACACGGTGGGCCGAAAGAATTTGGTGGCCGGAACGTGGCCGGGCCGAAAAAAAATTTCGGCCGGCGCGACGCCCAGCCGAAAAAGTCTTTCGGCCCGGCGACGTTCCGGCCGCAAATTTTTTTCGGCCGGTCGCCGAACGCGCCGCCGAAAAGTTTTCCGGCGGCGCGTTCGGCGACCGGCCGAAAAAAATTTGCGGCCGGGACCTGGCCGGGCCGAAATAATTTAGCGGCTGAGCGTCGCGCCGGCCGAAAAAATATTTCGGCCCGGCCACGTCCCGGCCGCAAGAACTTTTCGGCCCGGCCACGTCCCGGCCGCAGGATCTTTTCGGCCCGGCGGCGCGCCGGCCGCAATTTTTTTCGGCCCGGCGAGTTTTTTTTAATTTAATTTAATTTAATATGTTAATTAATTAGTCAATAAAAGTTACTTAATTAATTAATTTCGATTAACTACTTAATTAAATGTTTTTTTAATTACTTAGATTAGTTAATAGAAAATTAAATAATTAAGAATTGGTTTAACAATTAATGTTAATAGTACATTAGTTAATGGACTTGCAGTTAATTAGTGATTAATTAACAATTAATGTTAATAGTACATTAGTTAATAGAAATTTAATTAATTAGTGCGCATCTAAGTATGATATTGATTAATTAGTGATTAATTAACAATTAATTAGTTAATCGAAATTTAATTAATTAGTGCGCATCTAAGTATGATATTTTGTAAATTTGTAGATAATTAGATATGGATGATGCGGGTGGGAGTGAGTTGGGTAGATTCAATGGTAGGGTTGTTGATGCATCAACACAAAGGAAGGTGCCTAAGAAGAATAAGGAGAAGAAGCGCTCTCGAGATATTGGACATCAGTCAGAGGCTCCTACTTTAGTTGCTCGTTCGTCATCACGGGCGTCTGGTTCCCA